TTTTAGAACCATTCCAGTCGAAAGTTATTACAGGTTTCATCAGACATAAATTCGACTTAAATACTGTTGTCACAGAAACATCTGAGGAATCCTCATCCAGAATTGGTATATGTCCAAGAGTCGTTGAAGTCAAGGGATCAGGAAATCGATCAAAAATACCAGTAAAATGCTTCAATTTATCTGCTAAACAAGTGACGATTAAACCTAAGTCTATACTTTGCAATCTTCAAGAAGTAAAAGTCCTTCGTAACTGGGAACCAACAGACAATGATAATACTGAAACAACAGACAATGATAATATTGAACAATCAGGAAAGACAAATGATACACAAACAGAACAAAGTGAAATAGACAAGTTTACAAATAGTTTGAAAGTTGATCTATCAAATGTTCCTGAGACATACTGTCAACAAGTCAAGACCGTTTTCCATAAATGGAAAGATGTTTTTTCTACAGGACCTCTTGATATAGGAAGAACTGATTTAGTTGAACATGAGATACATCTAGAAGATCCAAAACCCTTTAAAGAACCATATAGACCCATTCCACCTGGTCTCATTAATGAAGTTAAAGAACATATTCGTGATATGCTTGAGATAGGAGCAATTCGCCCTTCAAACAGTCCATACTCATCGAACGTTGTAATTGTTAGAAAGAAGGATGGTGAAATAAGATTTTGCATAGACTATAGAAAACTCAACAATAAAACAAGAAAAGACGCATATGCCCTTCCTAGAATAGACGACACTCTTCATCTTCTTACTGGATCAAAATATTTCTCTAAACTCGACCTCAAAAGTGGTTATTGGCAGGTGGAACTTCGGGAGGAAGACAAATGTAAAACAGCATTCCAAGCAGGAAATTTAGGATTCTTTGAAGCCAATAGAATGCCATTTGGATTAACAAATGCTCCCGCAACGTTTCAAAGACTTATGGAAAGATGCATGGGAGATATGAATTTACAACAATGTCTTATATATCTCGATGACATCATCATATTCAGCCCAACCTTTGAAAAACATTTAGAGAGTCTCGAAGCTGTGTTTCAACGTTTGAAGACCAATAATCTTAAACTTAAAGCCTCCAAATGTGAATTCTTCAAAGATCAAGTCATCTATTTGGGTCATCTTATATCTGACAAAGGCATCGGTACAGATCCTGAAAAAGTTACTACAGTAGAAAATTGGCCAACACCCACCACAGTGAAACAAGTTAGAAGTTTTCTTGGATTCGCCGGTTATTACCGAAAATTTATCCAAGGATTCGCTAAAATAGTAAGACCACTGAATGACCTTCTCATTGGAGACAATCTCAAGAAGAAGAAAATAAAACCAACTGTTAAAAAGAAGTTTGAATGGGGTCCAAGTCAACAACAAGCATTCACAACAATTAAGCAAAAACTTATTACTGCTCCAATGTTGGCATATGCAGACTACAACAAACCTTTTAAGCTTCACACGGACGCATCGGGACTAGGGCTTGGAGCTATTTTATATCAAGAAGTTGATGGAATCGACCGTGTTGTTGCATATGCAAGTCGGAGCCTAAGACCATCTGAAAAGAACTATTCTGCACACAAATTAGAATTCCTGGCATTGAAATGGGCAGTTACAGAGAAGTTCCACGACTACCTTTACGGATCACAATGTTTCGTGACTACAGACAACAATGCATTAACTTATGCCCAAACTTCTGCAAAGCTTGATGCAACCGGCCAACGCTGGATTGCGAGTCTTGCCAACTACAACCTGAAAATAGAATATAGAAGTGGTAAGAAAAATATCGACGCTGACGCTTTGTCTCGAATAGAACCATCAAATCATACGGTAAACCCCGATACAATTAAAGCAATGACAATGGCTGCTCAAGTCCAGATTCCACTTGTTGAAACTATTTGCAATCCTGATGCCGAGATACAACCGGAACTCATACCAGATATTCCTGACGACTTGATTATGTCAGTTAGTCTCTCAAATATGGACTGGTATAAAGCACAACATGAAGACCGCATTATAGCTGGAGTTATAAGTCATCTAAAGAATGGAACCAAACCGGCTTCTTCGACCTATGGTTCCGAGGCTAATATAATCTCTGGTTATCTTCGCGAATGGTCCAAGCTTGTCTTTCAACAAGGCGTTCTTTATAGAAGAACAACTGTTTCCGGTTTTACTCGCCTTCAACTTGTGTTACCTTCAAAATTGAGAGAAGATGTATTTCATGCAATTCATACAGATTTAGGACATCAAGGACGAGACAGAACACTATCATTATTTAGAGAACGCTTCTTCTGGCCAGGAATGGAATCATTTGTTGTGTCAAAAGTAAGATCATGTGACCGATGTATCAAAAGAAAAGCCCGAAACAGCAAAGCAGAATTGGTAAACATATCATCTTCCTTTCCTATGGACATACTATGCATTGATTATATTTCATTGGAACGTTCAAAAGGTGGCTTCGAAAATATTTTTGTAATGACCGACCATTTCAGCAGATACGCAGTGGCATTTCCAACACGAAACCAAACAGCAAAAACTACAGCAAAAATTATTTTTGATCAAGTTATTGTTCACTATGGTTTTCCAGCCCGTCTACATAGTGATCAGGGACAATCTTTTGAGGCAAATATAATCAAGGAATTGTGGGCAATTGCTGGTATTGACAAATCAAGAACAACACCATATCATCCTAAAGGCAATCCCGTGGAACGTTTTAACTCAACACTTTTAAAAATGATAGGTACTCTTGAAGATAACCAGAAAAGCAATTGGAAAGAACACGTTTCAACATTACTCTATGCGTATAATTGCACCAAACATGATAGCACTGACTTTTCACCATACTTCCTAATATTTGGCCGTCATCCAAGACTTGCAATTTATGCCTTTCTTGGACTACCAATAGACAATGAAAATTCTCAATGTCATTCGGAATATGTTCATCAGCTGAGAGATCGTCTCTTGAATGCATACACCATCGCAAGAAAATGTTCAGAGCATGTTGGTAAAAACAATAAAAAGTATTATGACATTAAAACAAGACATCTGAAATTAGTTCCTGGAGATAGGGTATTGGTCCGAAATGTGTCTATCAGAGGAAAGAATAAACTAGCTGATAAATGGGAACACCATCCATATATTATAATCAGTCAACCAAATGCTGACATACCCGTTTACCAAGTAAAACAAGAAGGAAATAGATTTAGAAAAATAAGAACATTACATGGAAATCTTTTATTGCCATTCAGTGATATAGTAAAGTATGAGATAAAGTTTGCTGAAAATACTGAAACTGAAAAGTGTGAAAATATCAATAATAAATCTGGACAAGAAGATCCAAAAACAAATACAAATAATAAAGATGTATCTTACCTGAATGCAACTCTGGAACAAGAAATGGATTCATCTTTCATGAATTCTGATGAAGAAACAATTGAAAAATATGGTATTCCTCAACGAAGGAAACAGAGAAATATGTCTGGAGAATCAGATGTGAATAATGATTCTTGTTCAGAAACAAATGATCCAATTCGTAAAACAAAACGAAATATAACAAAGCCTCGGTGGATGAGAAGTGATGACTGGATTATTGGATAGTGTGTATTAATAATAGTATATCATTGAACAATGTGAATTGACGTTCATTAGTTTACAATGATCAATTAAATTTTAAAATATTTGAGATTATATAAACAATATATCATTAGGATACCACTACATTATACACTCAATATCATATCATTATTATTTATACTTGTAGCGTGTCATATTACGGGCGTCGAAACATTAACATTTTCGTCACGATAAAATGTTATTATTATTTTGATGTTTCAACTATTTTACTTTTCTTTGTGTTGCGAGATTACCTTAATGCGAGACTACCTTATAGCGGAAAGAGATTGTTTTTTTCCTCTGCCGTTTTTCTGCGTATCATTAGTAAATGTTGGGGACAACATCGGAGGGGGCAAATATGTCACAGGTGTACAAATTTACCTATATCATCCCTATATCCCCAATATACTAATACTCTAAATTTCAGCAGTATGCCGTAACATTGTAAATCGACTAATCAACGTGATTTACAATGACACTATCTTTTCACCTTTCCTCTTTACTTTTCCTTTGTTATTTAAATGATTTTCTATGACGTATATAAGTTTGACCAATAGGGTCAATTAAACAATATATTTAAAAAAAAATAAGATTGTATTGTGTACGTTTGGTTTATATAACCTTAACTTAAATCATTTAAATTAATTACATGTCTATAATAAAAGGAATATATTTTGCTACAGGTAATTCTCTTCATATGTTGCATTTGTAAATTGCGTACATCTAATGTTAATAGACTTGTATTATTTGAGATCTAAGATCATTTCTTAGAATATATTTTTCTTTGTGTAATATGATGTCGGCAATTTTGTACATGTATGTTTACATTATTTAAATGCAATATAATTAAACAACATATTTTGAAAAAAAAAGATTGTATTGTGTACGTTTGGTTTATATAACCTTGACTTAAATCATTTAAATTAATTATATATGTATAATTAAGGAAATATATTTTGCTACAGCCGGAAGTTGTTTTGATCCGTCATCCCCTGGCCCCAGATATATGAAACTCTACCGTTGAGACGGTCCAGTGCCCTAGACTAAAGAGGGAGATCTGGCGCCTCGGCGACATTTACACGCTTTAAGAGGCGGCGTCGCCTCAAAACAAAGCCAACGTTTGTTCGACTTCCATGTAGCGCACCCTCGCGCAAATATTTTGGTAGATATACGGTTGATATGTGTACCAGGGGAGTTGTCAGTAGTAGCTGTGGCAGGTTTGGAGCATATAGAGGTCTTGGGCATGCAGACGTCCACTTCATGGTCGATCTTAACCCTAACCCTTATCCTTTCTCAGTAAATGTTAGATAATTGCTCAACTTATAAGTAATACCATTATAATAAACGAAGTATGAAATATGAATAAACAATGCATCATTTATATAATTACAGGTTTTTAAAAGGGCAAACGAGCACATTCCAACAAAAATAATACAGTTTGGACTAGGCGGAACAGCAACAACACTTCAATTTCAAATACTATGTGTTCTTATGGCCTTATTACATCAGGACGAAATTAAAGATGTAGGATGCTACTATGCTAGACAACCTGCACACAAATACTGCGTAATAAAAACTCATTCAATAAAAGACACATTTTTTCAAATACTTCCATCAGATGTGTGGATTTTTATGACATCTAGCAGTTTACTTTCGGATGAAAAGAAAACAGAATTGGAGACACATAAGGTTAGAATAAGAAATATGAGAATAAGGATACCTCTGATCGTTGACATAGAAACTACATCTAAACGTGGTCATACTGTTGTTTTTGATTATCAACAATTCTTTAGACTTTCCAATACACAAATGCAACATGCAGTGGAATATTTACGGTATTGGGATATCATAAGGTTGTGTTGTGGAAAACAAATGTCTGCTGATTGGAGGAGACACTTGTCACCAAAAATATCGTATCAACCTCACCATGATCCACATGGTTATGCATATCCTGCTTGCGAAATGTACAACATAACCGAGGTTGAAAATTTATTGATTAAAACATTTGTCTATCAAAAATTTGCTAATATTTCTTCACTTCATGACGTAATTGGAAAGCCATCGAACGTTGACGGAGAACTTGACGGTACCTACTGTGAGCGTTGTAATAAAAATATTGCTGAAAAGGATTTGAAATTCAATGAAAATTGCGCTTGAAATGCAAATGATTGATCACATAATCAATATTTAAAAATGCAAAATCTGTACAATTGTAGATACTGTTGATTAGGGACCATTTGTATAATTACATTAAATTTATATGTCACTATGTTAATTTATTCAAGCCACATACGTAGTTCATGTACTAATTTGATGTCTTTTGTAACATTCATTTATCAATAAACAACAGCCCACAGCATTTCAAAGGCAAGTGCATTGTCTGTTGATACCATGCTCTTCATAATGCTAATCACCTTCGTTGAAATTGTCATCATTGTTGTTTCATCATTAATCAATAATAAATACATCGCCATATTTATCATCATCACATGCTCGGCGTAATTTTTGTCATGGTGAACACCTTTAACATCGGCATAATCACATCCTTAATAACAACAATAACAACAGTAACAAAAGCACGAGCTCAAATGTCTCGTTTTCTTTTTCGTAACGTGAAGTTTCTTTTTTTCCATAAAAAATATCATTATCTGTGACTAATTCAAACATATTTATCATGTAATCAGACCACATCATTCAAACATTTTAACAACCAAACACTTATATCTTAACACACGCAATAGATTTTACAGTATTAAAAAAATCGCCATAATGATTAATAACAATAAAAGTAATAAATAGTTGGTAGGTGTACATGTAAAGAGCATATTATATTTTCTTTTAAATGTATACCACAAACGCCTCTATTGACTGTAAATCGAAATACTTTGAAAAATAAAACACAAATCTAGGATTTATGGGTAAGGTAAACCCTAACCCTAAAAATAGTAATTGATCAATATAATATTAAAGTGACATTATGAACATCCATGGGTATTTTAGGTGAAAAGATGTAAGTCAAAATAAGTTTTCAGTCTGCTTTAAATATTTACAATTTTACATTATACTTTGCTTTAACCAATGATTATTCACGTGATCAAAGACAATTTCTCTCAATATCCATCACAATTAACCTGTATTTTTCAATTTATAAAAAGAGTGGGACAGTCTTCACATATTTTAGACAGGTTTATATTTTATCCTTACATTTTCTTAGGTAAACTGTTGGTCAATCAATATAATAACAGTCATTTTTTTAAATACAAAGCCAAATCAGCTCACCTTGACAGTGACATTATAGACATAATCGAAAAACTAAAAGAGAAAGAAAGGTGAATAAGAGTGAATAGACCCTTCCTAATATAACTTCATGATTATTCATAGATTCACGGAACGAGGCTAACAGGGCAAGCTGGAATACCTGTATGTTAACATTTCTCAAGAATAATGAAAGAGATCTTGATATTGTACAGTTGATTACTTTTGTAAAATACTATATTTAATAAAACAAATCAATTATAAAGATAAATAAATCAACACATGGTTAAATACAGCAATTAAAGTGACGGATATATTTGATACCTGAGAACTAAGTTAAAATTTTAAGTTATTTCCAAGTTTTTTTCTCGGATATTCCTAGTCAGTATAAATATAAGGTTAAACCTTTGCAGTAACTTATACAGACACTTTCTGTGTAATCAGCATTTTGCTAACCGATATTTTGGGTCAAGAGTGTATATTGCAATTAACTGATAATAGATGTAAACAATTTGCTGCTGAATTGTGTACCATAATTCCCCTAAATAAGCTGTTTTAAAATAAAAGGTAAGTTTTATTCAATTTGTGTTTCAGTGTGAAACATCTTGATTGCTGTCCAGTAACTGGTTAATTTAACAGACAGCTTCATCAAATTATGGAAATATTTTGACATGACATGCGCTTTCGTATTCATGCAAGAAAAATTTAGTATTATCACACATGGTGTTGTTTATAGAAATTATATAATACATTTCATTATGTAGCCATGTTGCTGAATTATTGTACCAGCTGGCATATATATAAGTCGTTGGACAGAAGATGTTGCCTGACTAACCAACCCGAGACATCTCATATACATAGAAAACTGAAAATTCAAGACAAACATGTGTAGGGCCATGGAGACGTAGGGTATTAGAAATGTCAGCAGAAAGTTTCAGAAAATCTCTCTTTACATTCTAAGAAATATTCAGTCAATATTATATAATGTAATAAAAGGACAAATATTGTATAAGTCCAACATATTCACATATTTACTACAGCTGTCCCAAAATGTAACAACGAACAATATTAAAAACAAAGTATATTAGATGATTTCTTACTTGATTATCTATCTACTAAATTAATGACGCAAACAACAAGTATGCCAGACACAAATTATGAAATTTCTAGAAGATACCAATATTTATTTCAATTGCACATATAATAGGTTTCTTTCAAATGGCTGAATTTAAAACATATGTAAAGTGTAAAATAAAGGTTAAGTCTGACAATCTTGTGTTATACCTTAAATCTGGCACAATCGTCTTCTTTACACCTTACTTGTCTTTCCACTACTATTCCAGTCAAACCAAGAGGGTATATCTATTTTCTTTAGACATTTTCAAATTCATGTCCATGATCGATAATATGAAATGTTTCGAACGAGCAACTGTTGTCATATTAATTTGAAAAAGTACGTAAAATCAGTACCTTTTAGTATAAAAAATGTATTTATTTAGATTATATAGCAACTTATATTATGATTTAAATGTAACATGCAACAAAAAAATCCTTATATTGATAAATAAATGAACCATTTGAAACATTGGGAAATCAGATTATTTAAAGTAAAACGTAATACATTCAAGTAGTTTGGTGTAAAGGAACAATGGAAATTTACCTTGAAATGTGCTTTATCATCTAATCATATTTTCACAATACACTTTATTCCGTTATTAAACTGACATCCTTACGTATCTTATGAAAATAAACTGTATTATCATATCTATAATCGGGATATAATAGTGGAACACAACAATGAAAATGAGATTTTTCATGTCAGTTAAACAAGTTTGTGCCTTTCAGTTCAGGCAATTTTTTTTTGCATTCATGCCCTGTAAAAATCTGGAAACAAAGTGATCCCTCGGAAGCATTAATCACAACAAAATTACATAAGAATTGCAGACTCGGTTTGATTGAGTCTGTACATGAGGGATAATGATGGTGCAAAATCCCTCACGCCCCCTAGTATCGGCGAGCGGTACTCAATTCTCAACACTTGATAGTGCTGGCATCAATGATCTCGACCAGAAAAATATGAAAACAACACTGAAGTGAAGTACGGGGCAACTTTTTTACAGCCTCTTTCTGGTGATGGAATGTAAAGTATGGATGTGATTTGAGAACGGCCTATAAGATGACATAAACGCTTAGATTTTTGGAAACAAATGATTTTTTTAGGGCCGATATATAGTAATTGACTAAAATTATTTTATTTAGTATGCACTAATGTTTTAGTTAAATCGTAAATTATACTATGCGATAGTTAATTGTCAAGAAAATCCATTATGTATTAAAGGACGGCCAGAAATAAGTCCTTGTTATCAGATTGAGAAAGAAAAGCATCCCTAGATAGGAGAGTATATAGAGAGACATTTTGATTGATTCGTCGCACTTAAGTGAGAAGGAATATACGATGGTAACTATAACAGTGGCATTCGAGAAGATAAAGATAATTGTTTTCAGATGATCGACAATGACAAAGGGCGATTAGACTATATAACGATTGAAAAGATTGCGATTTATTTTGGTACAATTCATGCGAACTTAACATGTAAGACCTGTACTATTCGTGATCCGGTGTAAAAATAAGCGGGCGTACAGTCACTGACTGGCATAACATCATTTCTAAAAGCTTTTAAAGTAGGTGCATGTCTTACGTTTGTTAAAAGGTTTTTCCAATCATGAACTGTCACGAGTAAGAAAGAATTGTAATATTGGTTTGTTTGAAAATACAAGTGTCTCACTGGTCTTTATTTCGAAGGGTAGGGTTAACCCTTACCCTAGGTTGTACGAAGACGGTGATCAAATATTTGGGTAAACGAGTTTGGTTATGTCTTCTGGTGCAAGGCAATTCAGTTTATCATCTTACAGAAAATAATCAGCCTGTGAACTCGTCATCTCTTCTAGCGATGACAAATTAATTTTCTTTTTGAGTTTATCGAGAGAGAAAAGTTTGTTTGCTCCCGATACAATATGAGTACATTGGATTTTGGATATTGTTAAGCATGTCCTTTGCGTACTCATTATGCGTGATTAGTAAGCCTACCTCATTTTATTTACCTTTTTTGATACACTAAACAAACCCGATAATATCGTGTCTTGCACGGCGACTTAAATGCGGATTTCCAGTGTTTTACACAAAGCAAGCCTTAAATAATACCATGTCATATTGAGTAAAACTTTTTACACAGAAACTTTTGCTCTTATTCACAATTTCAAAAAACAAACATTCTTGTAAAATCTTAAGACTTTCAGCAGTCATGCCAAGGCTCTCTGAAAATCAATGTACTGTATTCTTAAAAATGTTCGCGGATACAATATTTCGCGTTTTTCACAACGTCGGCATTTTCGCGGAGACAAACTTTCGTAGATTTGTAGTAACCGCAAATTTCGCGAATATTAAATCGCTACGGCTTAATTACAGTTTTTGGAGGCTACATTTTTGATGCATGACCTTGACCGTTGGGTTCTTTTAATTCTTTTATTTTTTTAACAAGTCGCACCTAGAGCGCTACGTTACTCGAAACCTTTCATTTATTGACTAGTCAAACACGGACGGTTGTTCCGTGAACACTTTTTACTTAATTCCTTACCTTTTTCACTATGTGATTGAGTAAGATTTAATCAGATCTATTAGCTTTTATGCTCATTTGAATCATAACTGACTTTATCTTTAAAATTTCAATACTAATTTATTACACAGTATTGAACTGTACATCGCTTCCATTAATGTAGCACTTGATCGTTATTGTACTTTTAACAAAGGATTATTCAAGCAAATGAAATCAAATTCACTCAAATTATGCAAACTGTAAATGCTTTTGTATACGCCGTGTCAAGCAAATAACGTCAATAAGCATGATATTTATTAATAATTGACTTTTTTCAGGGTCCAAACAGGTATCTATATCATACATACATAATTTTCTACACATTTCAATAGCACCTGTGTTTATATGTTTCTTGTGTAAGTAGATTATAATAAATTTTCTGCACGTTTATGTTTTTATTTGGCTGAAGCTAGAAATGTTTGCGGATTTGTTTCGAGTGACATATTCGCGGCTAAAAAGATTAGCGGAATCATCCCAACCGCGAAAAGTGCTAACTTAAAAC